GAGGAGGAGGAGGAGGAGGAGGAGGAGGAGGAGGAGGAGGAACAGAAGGAGGAGGAGGAGGAGCAGGAGGAGCAGGAGGGACGGAAGGGCATGAGGACAAGGGAGTGAGGGCGGGAGGTAGGACGACAACGGGACGACAAAAACACAAGAGACAGGCGAGGAAGAAGGAGGTATGAGGCTGGAGCAGGAAGGTGAGGATGGAGGGAGGAGGGAAGGAAGGGCGGGAGAGGGGGAGGAGGGAGCCGCGACGAGCCAGAAGACAGGAGACGGAGAAAGAGGTGGAGGAGGGAGGGAGCGGGGAGGGAGAGAGCAGGGAGCGAGGCGGCGGGGGCGCTCGGGAGGGGGCACGGGCCACTGGAGGAGGGCGGCGCCCTCCCGCGGCCGAGGCACCCCATGGGGGGGGGGAGGCCCGCGCTTCGCCAGAGCGCGCGGAGGATGGAGCGGGGAGGGCACGAGGACGATTCCGCTCAATGCCGCCTGCCCCACGAGAGAGAGACGCCGCCCCCCACGGGAGCTCCAAAAACGGTCTGCGCACAGGTGCCCGTGGGTCGGAAGGGAGTGAGCAGAGGCATGCAGTGGAAAGGCGTTGGAAGCAGATTGGGCTTCGAGGGAAAACCACTCGACTCTTGAGGTAGGAAGGCGCTGAAGTAGACTGGGATCTGAGGATCCAGGACCGACGGGCAGCTGTACGCACGCATGCGTACCACCGTGCCCCGAGGGACGACTTGGAGTGTCCCCAGGTCCCTTAGAACCCTCCGCTTCGAGTATTCGAGTTTCTTCTGCTCAGGGGCCCGGCGCCCGCTGGCCCGACTTCTTGGAGGCCGGCCGCGTGACCTCTGGGGCGTGTCGCGCGAGTCTCCCCGCGGCCACCAGACAGCCCAAGATGGCCCCTACGGTAGGAGCTCGACCACAAGAAACCTTCCACAAGGAACCCAACCCTGGAGCCCCAGGACGTCCATTGACTCTTGGTGTGGGAACGTCACGTTTTCCATCGTAGAGCCATCGAAACCCAAGAAACCCAGGGCACCCTGGAGGCAAGCAGGGTGTTTCTTGGCATGGGCTTCCACTGTAGAGGGCCCCCGGACGGCCAAAGAGGGTCCCGGGACGGCCCAAGAGCGTCCGTGGGCAAAATCTTGGAGGCCCAAGGGGCCAGCCCGGGAGGCCCAAAATTATGGAAGCACGTGCTGCTTTTCGGTGACGGTTGCTTTCTCGGCGTTCCTCTCTGAGAAGCGCCCAGGACGGCCCAAAGAGGCCCCCAGGATCGCCCCAAGATGGCCCCGCGGCCCCCAGGGCAGGCCCAGGACGCCCCCCAAGACGGCCCCGAGGGGGAAAGCGAAGGGGCCTTTCGAGCCCCACACCCCAGGAGGGCCCCAAAACTCCCTCCAGGGGCCCCCGAGACGCCCAGGGCGAGGCACCAAGCGGCACCCAGGAGGGCCTCAAGAGGCCCCCAAGATTCCTCCAAGGGCCCCCCCAAAGGCATCGCTCCACACCCTGGGATACATCCAAGAAGCCTCCGACCCACAACCCAGGAACGGTGGCAGACTGGCCAGAACGCCCCTGTGTACGTGTACGTATGTGTATACATGCACATCTACAGAGGGAAAGAGAGACGACAGAAAAAAATACAAAGGGAGAAAGAGAGAAAGAGAGGGAGAGAAGAGAGAGAGAGAGAGCAAAAAAAACAAAACAAAAAAAGATGATGAAGAGGCGGAGGGAAGATAGACGGCAAGATAGCGAGGTCTCCTCCTCCTCCTCCTCCTCCTCCTCCCTCCTCCCCCACCCTCCTCAGTCGTTGGCGCCTGTCTCTTTCCCCATCTTCCACTTCAGCTTGCTGATGCGGCACGCCGCGCGCCCGCAGCGCACAAAGCCGATCGGGGAGTAGCCGACCTTGATCTCGTTGGGGATGTCGAGCACCTGAATCTGCGCATCAAACTCCTTCGTCTGACCCAGGGTGGTGTCCTTTTTGTAGACCATCACATCGCCCGAGCGGGGCATGTTGTTCTTGTCGAGGCCCTTGATGTTGAGGCCAACGTTGTCCCCCGGATTGGCGAAGTCGACGCGCTGGTGGTGCATCTCCACGGTGAACACCTTGCCGGTGCACGGGTTGGAAGCGGTGTGTGTGGGCAAGAACACGACCTCCTCACCCGGCTTCACCACACCCTGCTCCACGCGCCCAGCGAGCACATCGCCGACACCCTTGATCTTGTAGATGCCGGAGATCGGCATGCGCATTGGCGCGCTGGTGGGCCGCTCGGGCACACGGCACATCACGTCGAGCACGTCGTAGACGGTGTCCACGTGGATGGTCTCCTTGCCGTACTCGACATCGCAACCCTTCCACCAGCCCATGTTGTCGGACTTCTTCAGCAGGTTGTCGCCCATCCAGCCGGAGATGGGCATCACGGGCGTGCCCTTCTCGACGAAGTCCTTCTTCCATCCAACCTTGACCAGCATGCTCTTCATCTCGTTGGCAATCTCGTCATCCGCCACGGTGCCTCTGGCACGTTGGGGCGTATTCGAGTGCTTGTTGGTTGCCTGGTAGGGTTTCTGCAATTCGATTTCCAAAGGCAACCCCCCACCACACGCTACCCGCGGCCAGGATCAAACAAACCCAAAAAAGGCTGACTTCCCAGAGTCTCTGTCGGCACCGAGACGACTCCAAGATAGCCTAAGACAGCCCTAAACAGCTGCAAGACGCCCTAAGGCCAGTCAAAGACGGCTCATCGAGCCCCCGAAGGCTTCAAGACGTTCCCAAGAGGCCTCATAGACCCAAGACGCAAGAGATGCCCAATGAGGCCTCCAGCGAGGCTCTCCGAGGCGAAAACCAGTCAAACACGAAAAAGGAATCACTGCGTCTTGCTTCCGAGGCTTTTCGGCTCGAGATCGCCTCCAAAAACGTTCAGATACCCTCAAGAATCTCCCAAAACGGCCCAGGAAAGCCAAAGACCCCCAAAACGGGCCCAGGATGATTCAAAAAAACCCTAAAACGGCCCCAAGATTTGCCCAGGCAGCCACAAGGTTCAGACAGGGCACTAAGCAAGAGCGTGTCTTCATCTCAATCTCCTTCCTGCCGCCCTGCTACGCTGACACGGTGGCGGGGGTTGCCGCAGGCATCTGGATAGCGGGACTGCTTGTACCCAGCTGTGTCGCAGTCCATCTTGTTGACGCCAATGCAGATCTGCTTCACACCCAGCAGGTTGATCAGGCGGGAATGCTGGCGAGTCTGCCCCTGGATCTCGCCCGCCTTGTGATTGCCCTTGGCGATGGCGGTCGTGAAATTACCGTCGGCCGGGACCATAATGAGCGCAACGTCCGCCTGGGAAGCGCCGGTGATCATGTTCTTGATGAAGTCGCGGTGGCCTGGGGCATCGATGACGGTGTAGTGCCACTTCTCGGTGTAGAACTCCTTGGTGGTGCAAGCGATGGTGACGCCGCGCTCGCGCTCCTCCTTCTGGCGGTCCATGTAGAATGCAAAGGCGAAGGATCCCTTGCCCAAGCGCTCGGCCTCCGCCTTCAGCTTCTCCAGCTCACGCTCCGGGAGGCCGCCCAGCTCGAAGATGAGGCGGCCCGTAGTGGTGCTCTTGCCGCTGTCGACGTGACCGCAGATCACGATGGACAGGTGCTCCTTCTCAGAGTTGGCAGGCATGATCGGCCGATTTTGAGGCCCACAGGCGCAGATGCAACTCTGGTTTCGAAGAAGAAGCGGGTCGCGACGCCCTGAGCCCGAGCGGATCGAACACAGAAGAGAGAGGGTAATGGGAGCAAAGGGGAGGATGAAGGAGAAGGGGGAAGAAGTGGATTCGGCAGGGGCAGGGGAAAAGGAAAGGAGCAGCAGGAAAGGAAGAGCACTCTGCAGCAAATTGGCCAAGCCCCCGGGGCCGATCTGTAACCAACGACACAGGCGAATCCTGGGCCGAGTACGGAAGCTCCTGACCCGACATGCCCTCCTCGATCCTCCTCGATCGTCAATCCTCCTCGATCCTCGATCCCCCATCGACCCTCGATCCCCCTCGGCCATGGATTCTCCTCGATCCTCGATCCCCCTCCTCCTCCTCATCCTCATCCTCCTCCTCCTCCTCCTCCTCCTCCTCCTCCTCCTCCTCCTCCTCCTCCTCCCCTTCCTTCTCCTCCTCCTCCTCCTCCTCCTCCTCCTCCTCCTTTCAACGTGGATCGGACATGAAGAACGGAGCTTGTTGCGTCCTGGCACGAGAAGACACCGTGAGGCCGACTTGGGCGAAGTGCGAAACGACGTAAGCAGGGCGAGCGCAGCAAGATCAAGGAAGGCACCATAGACCAGTAAGAGAAGCACCCGACAGGTGACGGAGTATGCGCTCGCCCTGCAGCACAAAGGGTCTCTTCAGTCACACAAGAAGAAACGGACTGTGTGGGATCGAAATGCGACTGCAAGATACTGTGCAGAGTACTGGCATCATATTCGGAGTGGGCTCCCATGGGTCAATGATACAGTGAGATGCTAGGCAGCCGTAAGTCTGATATACTGTGTCAGGTTAGATACTCTCACAGCAGGACACAATATAAAGTCAACCTGGAAGACTGCTGCTAGATGCAGAGAAAGAAAATGAGCAAGCAATTGACGCTGTGACTCCTCCTCCTCCTCCTCCTCCTCCTCCTCCTCCTCCTCCTCCTCCTCCTCCTCCTCCTCCTCCTCCTCCTCCTCCTCCTGCCCCTCCGCCTCCACCTCCGCCTTCTGCTGCTCCTACTCCTGCCCCTCCGCCTCCGCCTCCACCTCCTCTTCCTCCTCCTTCTCCTCCTCCTCCTTCTCCTCGTCCTCGTCGTCGTCCTCCTCCTCCTCCTCCTCCTCCTCCTCCTCCTCCTCCTCCTCCTCCTCCTGCTCCTCCTCCTCCGCCACCGCCGCCGCCGCCTCCGCCTCCCCCTCCGCCTCCTCCTCCGCCTCCACATACTCCTGCTCCGCCTCCTCCTCCGCCTCCGCCTCCTCCTCCTCATCCCTCCTCCACCTCCCCCTCCTCCTCCTCGACGGCCTCCCGCCGCGGCGCTGCCAAACTTCAGCAGCTCCCTCTGCCTCTGCGAGCCTCGGGCGGCCGCGGCAGCCGCGAGGTCCTCTCCGCGCGCACGCGCGCGGCCGGGCGACGCGGGCGCCTCGCGGCCGCAGCCGCCGTCGACGCCGCCGCTGCAGGCGCAGCCGCCGCGGCCGCCGCGGTCGCCGCCGCCGCCGCCACGGCAACCGCCGCCGACGCCGTCGCCACTGCAGCCGTCGCACCTCGTCCTCCTCCTCGTCGTCGTCGTCGCCCTCGTCCTTGTCCTCGTCCTCCTCGTCCTTCTCGTCCTCCTCCTCCTCCTCCTCCTCGACGTCGTCGTCGCCGCCGCCGTCGCCGCGGTCGTCGCCGCCGCCATGCTGCTGGCGGCGGCGCGGGCGCGGTCGGTCCGCCGCCGCCGCAGCCGCCGCCGACGCCACCGCCGCCGCAGCCGCCGTCGACGCCCGCCGCCACCGCGGTCATCGCAGCCGCCGCCGCCGCCCAGCTGGCGGCGGCACTGGAAGAGGGAAAAAACGGCATAAAGGTAAACTTTTGGCGCGCGCGGAGCGCGCCAAGGGGCGGCGCCGGAAGCGCCGCCGGGGGGGGGGGGCCAGCGCGGATCCAAGAAATCTGCGCAGAGCGCCCAAAAGTTTATGTTTACGCAGCTATGTTTTCTTCGAGGCACGGGCGCGTTGCGGCAGGCGCGCGCGCACGGGCGTGCCGAGGGGCCCATCTGAGGCCGCTCTGCTGTCCAAGCACATCGCGTCGGGGAGGCGCGTCGCGTCTTGGGGTGCGGTCTGCACGCGCTCGCTCCCGTGCCCTGTTTGCCCTGTTTTTCTTCCCAGGACCCGTGCAGCCAATCTCACTCTCTGTTGCACTGGGCTGCCTCGCCGATCGGCTATCCAGGTCCTCTCTTCCGGCACGGCTCGGCCGGCAGAGGCACTCTCCAACGTCTGCCGGTCAAGCATCCCCGCAGCGGGTAACCGCCGCCACCGCAGTCACAGCCGCCGTCGTCGTCGCCAGTCACCGCCGCCCTCGTCGTCTGAGTGGTCGCCGTCGCCGCCCCGAGAGAGCTCGAGGATGGCCTCCTTCGGACTGGATGGGCACGGTTGACTTGATCGATGACCTCAGAGATGGCCATCCAGGAGGGCTCGACACCCCGAGAAGGCTCCACGATGGTCCCTTCGGGACAGGAGTTCGGGCTAAAGTTGGCGCCACCTAGGGTCTCCTGGGGCCGCCTCCGTGGAGAACGGGAGTATGGGGTACGAGGATAACTTTGGGCTCGCTCGTCGCGCACCTTGCTCCGCCCCCATACCCACGGTGCTTGCGCGGCTGCTGCCGCGTATCCTACGACGTCTGCGCGCATCTTCTCGCTTCTGCTCGAGTCGCGCGCGGTGCACGGCTTGCCCCTGTTCTAAGCGGCATCGAGCCCATCCCTGTCCCTGTGATTGATGAAACCAAGGCCGTGTCAATAATGAAGACGTGCCCTGAGAGGTTTGGAGGAAATCCCTGAGATTGGCACCGACATGAGGCAACGCCAATCTCAGGGATGGAATACGGTTCCAGGCTGGTATATAATGCTCATCGCTCGCGCAGACGAGAAGCGGCGCTGGCGCGAAGCATCGGTTGGCACGCTGCGGTCCAAAACCGACAGCGGCCGCTGTCGGGCAGGCGACTCGCTGCCCGGAGTGGGCAACGTCCGCGGCGACGTCGACGGCGAGTCCTGCTCGGTGGACAGGAACTGCTGTCGGTCGTCGCCCCTGTCTCTCCCGTACAGTGCGGGCGCGGTCGCGAGAAACCAGCGCAAGAAACCCAACCCTGAAAACCCGCGCGCGAGGTGAACCTGAGGGAAAACATGGAGCACCCTGAACGCAGCAGCTCCTTGGACGGCCGCGGGGAGTCACCGCGTGGACCAGAGGCCCCAGACATCCAACGTTGTGATCTGTGTGTCGCAGTGTGGGTTCCCATAAGTACAGACCTCTTCTCCTCCTCCGGGGCCAATTCTGCATCCCGCCCGGGCCGTTTCTTGACAGCCCTGGGGCCCAGCGAGGGCCCCCAGAGGCCGAAGGCAACGAGAAACTTCCGCACTCCATTTTTCGACATGTTGGAGGTCGGGGAAAGCCTGCCCCTGGTGGCTCTCAGACCATAACTCGGCTCGGCTCTCCAGCGGCTGATCGGGCCGATCCAGGCGCCTCCAGAACGCCCTCGGCGGGGCGCAGCTGCTGGAGAGTATCCGGAGGCTGGAAGGCCGCCGAGAACCGACGAAAACGCCCGAGGAGCTGCCGAAAACATCGAAATGCCGTCCCCCTGGGCGTGTCCTCCTCCTCCTCCTCCTCCTCCTCCTCCTCCTCCTCCTCCTCCTCCTCCTCTCCTCCTCCTCCTCTCTCCTCCTCCTCCTCCTCCTCCCTCCTCCTCCCTCCTCCTCCCTCCTCCCCCTCTTCCTCCTCCTCCTCCTCCTCTCCTCCTCCTCCTCCTCCTCCCCCCGGCGCGCCGCCGAGAGGAGGCGGGCAAGCCGAAGGAGCCTTCGGCTCCGCCCCCGCAGGCCGTGCAGCTCTCGGCTCCGCCCTCGAGCCCGTGGACGGGGCGGCGGGGCCGCGCTTCCTGGGGGCCAGGCGGCGGCGGGGCAGGGCTCCTCCTCCTGCTCCTCCTCGTCATCCTCCTCCTCCTCCTCCT